GGAAAATCTAATCTTATGGATGCTATTTCGTTTGTTTTGGGAATTAAATCGGCACAATTACGCTCTTCGCAGCTTAGAGATCTTATATATCGAGGTCGAGCCATGCAAGACGAAGACGAAGGCGATGATGGTATGGCGCTTGAATGGCGTGCAAATAATCCAAAGCGGGCATGGGTTATGGCTGTATACAAAGATGATAACGGAAATGAAATAAAATTTCATAGAAGGTTGTTTATCTGATAATCTCTACGTATGATGTATAAAATGCATATAATACAAATTATTTATGTAATTCGCATAGCATAACATCGTCTGGAACAAGTGAATACAAAATTGACAACAAAGTTGTTACCTATGCAAAATATAATCAAGCCTTAGAACAACAAAACATATTGGTAAAGGCGAGGAATTTTCTCGTATTTCAGGTATTAATTTTATTTCAATAAGAAACGGGTTTTAAAATTATCAAAATACATTCCTAATTTAGTCTATGGAATTTATAATCTGATAAAGGGTGATGTAGAGGCTGTTGCATCACAATCCCCAAAAGATTTAACTAGATTGATCGAACAAATTAGTGGGTAGGTAATGATCTATATGCTTAACCTTAGTAAATGGATTTGGTGCCTTGCTAAATAAATTACATTTGGAAGATCATTGGAATTAAAGGCTGACTATGAACAGTTAAAAATCCAGCAAGAACGTGCAACTGAAAATTCTGCATTCAATTTTAACAAAAAACGCGGGATAAATCAAGACATACAAGAATATCAGAGGCAAAAGGCCCAAGCACAGCAATTTGAAAAACTACAGAATGAAAAGGTGAATGCAATGATTACTTTTACAGACAACATAGGCATGATGTAAATTATTTAATGCCAATTTCTTCTATGGTCAGATGCGAATTTTAGTAGATTATCTTTTATGGAAGCTATATCACATACAAGGCAATATTGATGAATGTCATGAACAGATAGATAGTCATAATGAAATTATTAGAGAAAAACAGCAAACACAGGTAAGCACAATGCCTAACTTTTTACAAACATTCTGCTCTAACTTTTGGACAAAAAATTCCCCTTTGTAATTAGAAAAAATATGATGCGGATCACAAACAAGCTCGATTGGAACAAGCAGAAATTCACAAAAAACACTATAGGATGGAGAAAGAGATCCAGTTAAAAGAAAAAGAATTAGAAGAAAAGGTTTCTCTTCTTTAATAACAAACTTTGTTATTTCCGTTATTACCGGTCTTTAATTTTTATAGTATTTTCCTCCTTATTTGTTGACAGCGCCCGGTGCTATTAACGATGGATGAAAAAATCACCTATTCTAATAGAAAATTAACTCAGTTGGAGGAAAATGCTGAGAGAATTCGGAAAGATTATGATCGTCAGGTGCATAATTGATTGCTTCAAAATTATGAAAATTATTTAATTAATGATTATATATGCTATACAGTCGAAAAGGGTAGAAGAATTACAGCTAGAATTAGGACATGTCACGAGAGCTGCAGATGAATATGAAGGTATATGTTATTACCGTATAAATTGTGATTAACAATTATTCCCGATAGTTTAAAATTAACGATAGTGATCTATGTATATAGCATCATTAAATGCTGAAAGCAGTAGTAATAAGAAAAACGCAATACTAAACACAGATGAAATTGCTGAATATAATAGACTGTAAATAAACTTTTGGTGTTATTAAGGATAACTGTATATGGCGATTATTGCTTATTATTATATATTTACCTTAGGCGAGAACAGGCCAACAAACAAACAGTTTACGAAAAACAACAATTAGAAAATCTCCGCAGACAAGAAAAGACATGTCGTGAATCTACACAGAGATTAAAAGAGAAGATGGAGGATTTGGATAGACGTCGAAACCAGCTAGAGGAAGAGCAATTGACTCTGACGGATCATAAAGAGAAGGTATTGATGTAATTCTTATATGATACTTATTTATTTTAAATTTACAAATATTTAGAACGTTATGATATTTGATATTTAAAATTAGGTATCTGCTAACGTGTTGCAGTTACAATCCGATATTGATCAATCTAAAAAAGAACTTCACGCTGCTGTTACGGAGCGTGAATCTATTAAGTAAGTCTGTAATTTTTACTATAACATATATTCTCGGATTATTTATAATACCATTTTCATATACGTAGCCAACAAGAAATCCAGCTAAATCGCGAATTACAAGAAATACTCAATCAACTTACTGTGGCAAGTGTGGACCAGAGAGAATCAGAACGAGAACAAAGAATGAAGGAATGTTTAGAAAGTTTGAAGAGAGTATTTTCTGGTGTGCATGGACGTCTTCTTGATTTATTTTCTCCTACTCAGAGAAAATACGCAGTGCCCGTATCTATAATCCTTGGTAGGAACTTGGATGCAATTATTGTTGATCAACAAAAAATTGCTATTGAATGCATACAGGTTTGTTATTAGACAATATCCTGCCTTTATTTATTTAATATGTTGCATATATAAAGTTAAACTCTGTTCATTACTAAAAAGTACATGAGAGAACAACGTCTTGGCCATGCTACATTTATCCCACTCGATACAATTGTAGTCAAATCAATAAATGACAAATACCGTAGTATCATGAAGGGCGCAAGATTAGCAATAGACGTTATTACCTACAATGATAAACTTGAACGCGCATTTCAATATGCCTGTGGTAATACTTTAGTGTGTGATACACTAGATATTGCCAAACACATATGTTACGAAAAAAACCAGCAAGTCAAAGGTATTGTACAATGCTAAAACTATCGTAAGATTTCACCACTGCTTCGGAGAATTAATATATTTCTATAATTTATACAGCTGTCACCCTTGACGGTACTATTATTCATAAAAGTGGATTAATCACAGGTGGTCATAGTGATGATATTATTTCTGGTGCCAAACGAGTAACCGAAAAAAAACGTGCAGATAGTATGGATGGTGAGTCTTATTATTCATTTATTAGTGAGTAAAACGATAGTTCATAATTCGAACTTTTATATTTCTAGTATTAAGGAGTCAGAGAGATGAGCTAATGTCGAGATTGAACAATCTCAGCAAATCAAAGAGACGAGGAAATTTTGAAGAACAAAAAAAAAGTGAGATTTCTGGCTTAGAATCAAGACTGGAATTTTCTCAACAGGATTTGGTAATGAATTGGTTCTCCTGTCGGAAATTAAATAAGTTTTTGCAATCAGTTATATCTTTAACCGATCTAAATTGAACACAATAGACAATATCCACAACAAAACTTGCAGCCATCAATGATGAATTGATCGTTATTTCAAACGAAGCTGCACAACTTTTGCCAGCTTTAGAAGAGGTTTGTTCTAAGTCATGTGAATAAATTTAAATGTTTTATCAACTTTTCATGCACAAGAACTTCGGCATTTAAATTGTAGTCACAAAATGAACTTGTTGGTCTCGATGCACAAGTTAGCCAATGTGAGAATAACATAAACGAGAAAGAAGATTCTATTTTTCAAGAATTCTGCCGAAAAATCGGAGTTTCAAACATTAGGGATTATGAACAACGGCAATTAAAAATGGCTCAAGAGATTGCAGAAAAAAGATTAAAATTTACAACTCAAAAATCTCGGCTTCAAAATCAGTATGCGTAGTATTTTCTTATACAAATGTTAAAGTTTGTTCGTGATTTAAACATCCCATTCCATAAACTTCCTTGTTTCAGATTGAAATTTGAAACAGAACAAAAAAAAGAAACAGAAGATCGACTAAATAAACTCGAATCAACTATTCAAGATGAAGCAGATAAGGTCTCCCAATTTGAAAATGAAAAAAAACAATTGTTAAATGATAAAAAACGTATTTCAGATGAGATTTCTGAGAAACAAAGGGTTCTCAGCGAGATTAAAAATGAATATGACGTTAAGACTGCTGCAGTCACTTCTTCAAAACGACAGTTGACACAAATATCTAAAGAAATTGACAGATTGATGAAAGAAATTGTTAGCAAAGTAAAGTATGAATTTAAAATTAATAAATAATGTTTATGGAAGGGTCGTCCGTATTTACGTTATTTTACTGCTTACAGGAATCGGACATTGAAAAGCTAGAAGCTGATCGATTCTCGATATTTCGCAAATGTAAATTAGAAGAAATAGACTTACCACTTTTGAGAGGATCTCTTGATGATGTCTTAACGAAAGATTCGGTTAGTTATAATGATAGTATCGAATTTGTTATACATATGTTATAGAACGTCTATAAATTTATTTATCTTTACAGAGAAATTTGGATAATGACTTAATGGATATTGATGACGAAGACATTTATTCAAACGATAATGCCGGACCCAGCACAATTGGTGCCTCTAGAATCGAAGTGGATTTTAATTCTTTGAGCGAATACCTTAAAGAGGTTTGCCTAGTTCACTAATTACCATGAATTATAGATTTGTTACATAACATGAAATAATTCAATCAGAACATATTGTGTACAGAATGATGAGATAGAAATTACAAAAGATTTTGAGAAAAAGCTTGACGAAAAAACTGCAAAAATGGAAGAAATTGCTCCAAGCTTGAAAGCTATCGAAAGGTAGTTTTTGAATATATAATCAAGCTTAGCCCCCTATTCTAAACATTTCTGATTAAACTGATTTATATAAATTTATCAATTTATTATAGATTGGAGGGTATAGAACAGCGCCTGCGAGATACTGAAAAAGAATTTGATAGTGCGAGACGCGATGCTAAGACAGCCAAGGATAGGTTTAATGCTGTTAAACAAAAAAGGTAATGATTATAATGATTATTATACGACTGAGTCATCGACTAGTAAAATTCGCTATATAGAGTGAAATCTGCTATGTAGATCACATGAGGGTTGCGCTTTTGTATAATAAAAACATAGCAAAAACTCAGATTTCACCCTAATCCCAACTCAAACTCTACATAGATAATTTTACTAGCTGGTGACTCAGGTTTCACCATGTTCCATTATTATTATTATTTTTATCAAAAACGTTGTATTTAAGTTATATATATATATATTTTTTTTTTAGATATAAACTTTTTCATGCTGCATATGATCATATCGCCGAAAACATTGATAAAATATATAAAGATTTAACGAAAAGTCGCAGTTTTCCGTTGGGAGGGACTGCATACCTTAGTTTGGAGGATACCGAGGTATGGCATTTGTGTTAATTTTAAAGGACAATATTTTCGAAAATGTTTTTAAATCGCAAACCTGCTTATAGGAACCCTATCTAGATGGTGTAAAATATCATGCAATGCCTCCAATGAAGCGTTTTCGAGATATGGAACAGCTGTCAGGTGGTGAGAAAACCATGGCAGCGTTGGCATTATTATTCGCTATTCACAGGTATTATTTCGGTGCTTATGGTATCTAACCCATAATGTTTTTACTAAGTTTTTCATTTTTAGTTATCAACCATCGCCTTTTTTTGTTCTTGATGAAGTTGATGCCGCATTGGATAACACTAATGTCGGAAAAATTGCAAACTATATCCGAGAACACGCTTCAGATACCTTTCAATTTATTGTCATTTCTCTCAAGAGTACTTTATATGAAAAAGCACAAGCACTTGTTGGAATATATAGAGATCAAGATATAAACAGCAGCAAGACATTGACATTGCAGGTATGTGTGTCTTCTCTCTTAAACAACATAAAAGGCTTTATATTAAATTAAATTTCGATTATTTTTTAGGTTGATAAATTTTCAGAATAAACATATAGTATAGATGATCACTAGCAAAGCCATCATTAGATTTATCATATTATTTAGGAAATACGTCACACTTGTTGATATATGGGTGTTAATATATAATATATAAAACTTATAATAAAAACATATAAATTTACTATAAACTTTAAGGTTAAGATTCTTTTCACTTACAAATTAACTTATTTTTGAATCTTGAAAAAATTTTTTTTATTTAATAATAATGTTAAATAGGAATCATTAGTACATATGTTTATTAAAGTAATATATAATTTAAAATTAATGTATATATATATTTTTTTTTTTTTTAATTTTAAGTTAAGTATTTTAATTTAGAATTTTATTGATAGTATGTTTTAGTTAATAGTTGTTTTTACAACAATTATAAAAAAAATGTATAATTAGTTATTTGTACAATATTATTTATTGTTAAATTTTTTTTTAAATTTTTTTTTTGTGATTTTTTTGATTTTTTGATTTTTATTAATGATTTTTTTGGTAATGTGATTTGAAATTTTCAAGCTCAAGCCTATCTAAGCGGCCCATATGGACGATTACAGGAAGAGTATCAGAAAAATCTGGAAGATCAATTAAATTTACAGCTAACGCGTAGAAGTGTATCCTGAGCTCATTATATCATTGTATTACATCTAACGAACGCGTGAGTATGTATGTTTGTTACATAATATACAAATATAGACCTTGTCTATCACTGTATTTTCTGAGCCGTGGGTAAACTAGTGCAAGGGTAAAATCACCACCAAAAAAAGTTTCAAGTAAAATTTGGTTTTTTATTTGCTATTAGATCGGTGTCTAAGAATGTTTCTTATAGCAAAATTTTATTGGAAAACCTTTTAATTAATGCGCAGAAGGCAGTTTCGTAGACTAAATTTTGTGTTATGAACGATTTTTGACAAAACGATCGTTTGTTTGATCATGTTACGTTACACCTTATCTTGAGATTGATCATGAAACTTTTTAGGGTGACGTTGTAAACTACCGTATCGTCGCCCCGGGGCGTTATTTAGGGCAATTACTTGAAGAGAGCTAAAAATTAATTTAGCCGAAGACTTTTAATAACCGAAAATTATGAATTTCATTCGTTTAAGTTAATAATTAGCTCTCTTCAAGCAATTTGTCTCGAAATAGAGTGCCGTATCGTCGCGAAATAACGCCCCGAGCTTTATTTTAAGACACATTGCTTAAAGAGAGCTAATAACTTAACTGAGTGCGAAACATCATTATTTGTTATTTAAAATCTTTGGCCAAATTAATTATTAGTTCTCTTTAAGCAATGTGTCTCGAAATTACGCCCCGGGGCATTATTTTGCGACGATACGGTACTTTTTAAAAAAACAATAACCAACCATAATAAAGTAACAAAAACTATATAGAAGGTTTCATTAGAACTGTAGGACTCCATGGTCAAAAATAAGATCTAATTCTCGTTCGTTTAAATAAATTAGGCTTAGTAATATGATAATTTTATCGGGTTTTGATAAGTGATTACTATACTAACTTTTTTAAACAGACGAGAATTAGATCCTATCTTTTTATTTCTGGCTATGGAGTCCTACAGCTCTAATAAAACCTTTTATACAGCTTTTTTTGTTTCATTATGATTTTTTAAACGTAAAATTAAATTGAATTTATTAGCCAATCAGACAAACTTCTGCCTATGAACAGGGGGTATCTTTAGAGATGGGAAAATCGAGGATTTTCCGAATCTACTGCGCAGCCCGCATTACGGCTAATGCGGGGCAAAATTGTTAAATTCTGCGACATTCCGATGAATTCCGGGCTTCCGGAAAATTCCGCCTGCGCAGTGTCCCATCTCTAGGCATCCTTATGTCAAGAAATCCTGAGCTGCTGGCCAAAAAATATAGGTTGTAGTATCTCAAAAATTCCATATATATCTAACATTAACAATTTTTTTTTTTATCAGTAAAATTTCATTCTGAAAACTTTTACTTAGAGGTCGGAAATTAGTTATTATAGTAAAAGTTTGTGTTATTTACGTTTTTTTTACAATTTCTTATCAGACGCCTGATTTGTCACGCAGAGCACTTTCGTAAAATTTTTAATATGAGATCAAATTATTGACGCACCTAAATTTTATATATAAAATTTAGGCAAATTTTGCTTTCTAGGCTTGTTTAATCATAAAAAAGTTGCCGGTTTAAATTTTGGTAAAAGTTCGCAAATTCTCTAGCATTTGAAGGTTCTTCTCATAAAATCTTAAGGTGGTTGGGAATAAACGAAGAATAATCTGGTCCACAAACTTGACCAATTTTTTTACGATTTTTACGGTTTGTTTATAAGTTACCATATCATCGCGAAATAACGCTCTGGGGCGGTATTTCGAGACACATTGCTTAAAAAGAACTAATAATTAATTTGGCCGAAGATTTTAAATAACAAAAATTATGTTTCCACTCGGTTAAGTTAATTATTAGCTCAATGTGTCTTGAAATAAAGCCCCGGGGCGTTATTTCGCGACGATACGATATAAACATCATTTAACCAAAATAGGTAATGATAAACATCAATTAAATTGATGTTTCTAATTACTTTAGTTAAATGAGGCCAATTTTGCGAACCAGATTATTCTTATAAGAAGAACCTTCAAATGCTAGAAAATTTGCAAACTTTTACCCAAAATTTAAACCGGCAACTTTTTTATAATTAAACAAGCCTAGAAAGCAAAATTTGCTCAAATTTTACATATAAATTTTAGACGCGTTATTAATTTGACCTCATATTAAAAATGTTTTTCACATTTGTTTTGTTACACAAGATTCTGTGATTTTATTGGATCCAGAAGTGATCTTTTTAACATAATGATAAGATAACTTTTTTGTGATTGGTCAATTACATGAAATTGCATGGTAATTTATAATTGGCTAAACATTTCAACATGTAATAATTAACCAATAAATTTTAAAGATAAAGTATATATAGATTTAGTGCTTCTAATTAAACAGATTTGTACAAATCAATTTGATTAAAAACCTGATTTTACTTGATTAATACATGATCTGGGTTATTGGTAATATGTAATTTTTTTTAAAATTAAACTATTTTCTACATAATATTAATATTATGTAAATAAAAAAAAACAATAAAAAAGGGGTGTGGCAACCTAGTGAAGTGGTCAGGTTGTCAACCCCCCAAGTGGTAGGTTGGGTGTTCAAATCCCATCAATGATAAAAATTTGAATAATCACCTATGTAATATTTGTATTATGGCAACTGTTACTAATGATTGGGTTAGGATACCTGTAAT